TCTCCCTCTCTCCCTCCCTCTCTCCATTCATCCCGACATAATAACGAGGGTCGGTTGTGTGTCGTCCGTACACACATACACACACACATACACACACACACACACACACACACATAAGACACACGATGGACTCAGTCGACGACGCGTTGTATCGGGCGGAACGCGAAGCGTCGTACCGCAACCGCGCAAGCCACGAGGTGGAGAGGGTCAACACGGCAACGTCGGAATCGAGCATCTCTACGTCAGGAGATGACGACGGTAGAGGGAGCGGCACGGTCCGCAGCCGCAACGGCCACGCCAACCACAGCAACGTGAGCCGCATCTCGACGCAGAACGACCTGGAGCGGAACCCGACGGAGCTGAGCCGGATCGCCACGCAGCGCAGCCAGCACCACAGCACGGTGGGTACGGAGCTGCGCAGCCGCGTGAGCACGCGGCGCCGCGAGGGTCCCATACCCCCCATGGGCGCCGGCAAGCCTTACCCTCCCCCCCTGCCGGACTCGGAGGAGTACGTGGTCGAGTTCGACGGGCCCGACGACCCGCTGCACTCGCAGAACTGGCCGCTGCGGAAGAAGATGCTGACGGCGGCCATGCTGGGGTACACCACCATGACCTCCGCCTTCACCTCCTCCATCTTCTCGAGCGCGACCTCGGTGGTGGCGGCCGAGTACGGCGTCGGCACCGAGGTCGGGCTGCTGGGCACCACCTTCTACGTCATCGGCTTCGCCACCGGGCCGACGCTCTGGGCCCCGCTGTCGGAGCTCAAGGGCCGCCGGCTGCCCATCATCCTGGCCATGTTCGGCTTCTCCGTCTTCAGCATCGGCTGCGCCACCGGCAAGGACATCCAGACCATCCTCATCTGCCGCTTCTTCTCGGGCTTCTTCGGTGCCTGCCCGCTCTCCGTCGTCGCCGCCGTCTTCTCCGACATGTTCGACAACCGGACCCGCGGCATAGCCATCACCGTCTTCAGCATGGCCGTCTTCACCGGCCCCCTGCTCGCGCCCTTCATCGGCGGCTTCATCGTCACGTCCTCCCTCGGCTGGCGCTGGACGGAGTACCTGGCCTCCATCATGGGCTTCGTCTCCTTCCTCCTCGACCTCTTCTTCCTCGAGGAGACGTACCCGCCCGTCATCCTCGTCCAGAAGGCCTCGGACCTGCGCCGCCGCACCAAGAACTGGGGCATCCACGCGAAGCAGGAGGAGATCGAGGTCGACTTCCGCGAGCTCGTCTCCAAGAACTTCTCCCGCCCCCTCCGCATCCTCTTCACCGAGCCCATCGTCCTGCTCCTCTCCATCTACATGAGCTTCATCTACGGGCTGCTCTACCTCTTCCTCACCGCCTACCCCCTCGTCTTCGTCGGCGTCCACGGCTTCAGCGCCGGCAAGTCTGGCCTCACCTTCTTCGGCATGATCACCGGCCAGTTCATTGCCGGTGCCGTCGTCCTCGCCCAGCAGCCGTGGTATAACCGCAAGCTCACGGCCAACAATGGTGTCCCTATCCCCGAGTGGCGTCTCCCCAGCATCATCGCCGGTGGCATTTCTTTTGCCATCGGTCTTTTCTGGTTTGGATGGTATGTCTCTCCTCTCTCCTCTCCTCTCCTCTCTCCTCTCTCCTCTCTCCTCTCCCTCTCTCTGCCTCTCTCTCTCTCCCTGTCCGCCTACCTTCTCTTGCTCCTTCTGCATGGCACGTGCCGACCAGCATCTCTGACAAACTCCCAGGACCGGCTACACCAGCGACATCCACTGGGCCGTACCCGCCGCGTCCGGCATCTTCTCCGGCTTCGGTCTCATGTCCATCTTCCTCCAGGCCCTCAACTACCTGGTAGACGCCTACCTCATGTTTGCCGCCTCGGCCATTGCCGGCAACACCTTCATGCGATCCCTCGTCGGAGCCGTCTTCCCGCTGTTTGCGCGCCAGATGTTCGAGGGCATGGGCATCCAGTACGCCAGCACGCTGCTGGGCGGCATCGCCGTCGTCCTCGTGCCCATCCCCTTCGTCTTCTACTTCTACGGCGCTAGGATCCGCTCGGGGAGCAAGCTCGCTCCCACGTTTGGGGCCGCGGCCGTGGTCAGCAACCAGGATGCCGCCGAGGAGCGGCGGGGGAGTAGCTCTCACGGAAACGGTCAGATCCAGAAGGAGGGCCGGGGTGAGAAGCAGGATGATGTTGCCGGTGCTCATGCGGCTCGGAAGGAGAGTGATAATGGTGCGCCTAGGCAGAACGTGTAAGACCGTTCATCTGTCCCTGGTTTACTATTTCCCCTCTCACACTTCCTTGTAATCTTTGTCTTCATCGTTGCGTTTTCTTATTCTAGGATGCCAGCCATCTTGTTCATATTGGCGTTTCCTTGTGTCATACCTTTTTTTTCCCCTCTGTTCCGCATGCTTGACGCGTTTGGATCATGCCGAGAAGATGTCGAGGATGTGTCATGTCTTCTTATATACCTACCTGTCTTGTGGAAAACCATTCCGTCATATGATATCCTAAACATGAGACTCTTCCCATATACTGCATCCGCCAAATTTCATGCCCTTTCCATACCTGCTTCTCCTTCTTTTTCATCATCCCGACTTCGTGGAGATAGCCCCACGTACAAGCAACCCTTTTTTTTTAAAAAAAAAAAAAAGGAAATTAATGACGGAACGACGGAGTGCAGAGCGGTGATGCAGAGCGGTGACAGAGCTTGCATGGGACGGACATTCGACATTCTATAGAGTCGAGTCCGAAAACCAGCAATGACTATCACAAGGTGTTAACAGTCATCGTTTCAGGCTTCTCCTTCGGCACAAAGACTCCAAGTGTCGATGCTCCATATACGCGGTACGATGATATCCATCAGAGATTTCATTATCCGATCCGTTTCGGTTGGCCTGGCTCCCTTCCAGTTCAACACCAAGGGGCGCGATCCCCTCTTCTATCCCAGATGCGGCGCCAGCATAGGCAATTGACTTTCGAGAGGAGGATACCTCCATCCATTCAGGGATCTCCCCGGAACAGGATACGACGATGAAGCATAGATCGATGCAGTAGCACGACAACATGGTTCTTGGCCTTGCGTGGAGGAGCAATAGACAGCATACCAATGACGACATGTGCTGATACAGTGTGGGGTAAGAAGCTCAGCTTCCCCTCTCAGATCTTACCCGAAGCCTGATGGGCCGAAAGCAAAAAAAAAAAAAATTTAAAATTAAAATAATAAAAATAATAAAAAAATGAAGTCAGATTTTGGTGATTTTGGTGTCTTCTTAGCGAAGCAGAGTTTTCAGCTCTACTCTTCTTTTTCAGCAGAAGCATGGAAGTGAGGAGTTGCTGTTCAATGGGCAGCGAGCTGTTGTTTACAGGGTAGGATTTGAGGGGCGGCATATTCGAATATGAGCGGGAGCTGGAGGAGCATCGAGAGATGATTGAGTTGGGTGTAGACATGATCCTCAGATACTACTACTGTCACTGCCCAACAAGTCCTCAACTGGATTGCTTCTACCGAAACAATTGATACGAGTTCAGAGTACGAGGGTATCTGCTCTGAACGTGTACGTGCATCCCAGGTACGTACTCGATCGTCGTCGCCCCGCCTACGTCATCACTTCTCATTCTAGCGCTGCCATTGACGTCGATGAATCCGATCTGCTTGCTACTCACAGCTCCAGCCGCGTAACTGGTGCCCAGGTTTGATTCCCAGTAGAAAAATATAAATTTTCTTTCTGAAAAGGGAGGACATTAAGAAAGGAAAAAAAAGGATGTCGTAGGTGGCACCATGTTCGTACCGTACCGTCCTCTCGCCAAGTCTAGCTCTCCCTTTGCTCAATTCATAACCTCTTCTCCCTCTTCCTCCTCCTCCTCCTCCTCTATATACAACGATACAACCAAAGGGGGGGGGGTTTCCACGACTTCCAACCTATGAGTTTCCCATAAACTGTTCCCGGCCATTCTCTCTACACGTATCTCCTCGTATCGTGACCATATATTATCGAGTACACGAGTCAGCCCGTTTCAGGCAAGAGAAATAAAGAAAAACACCCGCTACCATGGACATCAGAGAGCACAAAGCTGGCAATGTCCAGCCCTATGGTGGGCGCAACAAGATTCCCAACATCCAGGAGTTCATGTCCCACCTCGATCGCGAGAAGAAGGACCGCGATGCCGCTATTGACAGCGACCTGTCCAAGAACAAGAAAGCCGGTGAGGTGGCAGATCACAAGAACGACGATGAAAAGGCAAGAAAAAAGCACGAGGATACCCGCACAGTCAGGGATCCCGTCACCGGCAAAGATGTCGAGATCCGTGATGTTAAACTGGACTTTGGTGAGGCTGTCGACAATCCCAAGGTGTGTATCTCTTATCTTTCCCTTCCCATCCCCCCCCCCCCTGTCCTCTCTCCCATCGCCACCATGTTCATTTCCCTGGTGCGTGAGCCTCGCTGACCTGCCCTCCACAGATGTCCGTGCCGAATGGAAACCTCGGGAAAGAAGCCACCATATCTGCCAAGGCCAACCAATCCGGCGAGGAATACAGATACGCTCAGGATGTGACAGCACCTCCTGATCCCGTCCAGGAAGGTTCGACGTCCGATGTGCCCATCCGCAGCGAAAAGACGTCGGTGCTCTTCTACCAGACCCCCTCGGTCAGCTACGAGCCCATGTTCGCCAACCTGGAGAGGCGGGGTAACTTGCTCTGCGCCGGCATCTTCGCGGCCATCATATTCGTAGGCAGCTTCTTTGGCGGACGGCTCCTGGGCCTGCTTCCCCTGGCATTCTGCATCGCCTCGGGTGTGTGGCTCTGGATCAAGGACCTCATCCGTCAGGGTCGCGACAACGAGTGGGCCAGCGAGCAGAGCAGGGGGGAGACGGCCACGGTCAACCTGATCCCCGAATCGGTCGAGTGGATGAACACCATGATCGGCATCGTCTGGGGTCTCGTCAACCCGGAGATGTTCGCTAGCATTGCCGACACGTTGGAAGACGTCATGGCCGCCTCGGTGCCCGGCATCATCGAGGCCGTCCGCGTGGCAGATATCAGCCAGGGGAACAATCCCATCCGCATCCTCAACATCAGGGCCCTTCCCGACTCGCACGTCGAGGACATCAAGGATGAGATACGCAAGAAGAACGAGGAGGCAGGCATGGACGAGCACGAGATGGCGGCCAACGAGCAGGCCGGCGACTTTTACAACCTCGAGGTTTCCGTCGCCTACCACGCCAAGCCCTCGGGACAGGACGTCATGTCCAAGGCCCAGAACATGGGCATGCAGCTCGTCTTCTACCTGGGTCTCAAGGGCGTCATCGGCATTCCGCTGCCCATCTGGGTCGAGCTGATCGGTCTCGTCGCCACGGCCCGCGTGCGCGTCCAGCTGACGCCCGACCCTCCCTTCCTCAAGACGGTCACCTTCACCCTCATGGGCCTGCCCAACGTCCAGGCCGGATGCACGCCCATGATCGAGAGGGGTGTCAACATCCTCAACCTGCCCCTCATCTCCAACTTTGTCAACTGGGCCATCGCCACCGCCGCCGCCATGTACGTTGCGCCCAAGAGCCTGACCCTCGACCTGGGCCAGATGCTGTCGGGCGACGACGTCAAGAAGGACACCGAGGCCATCGGCGTCATCTTCATCCGCATCCACAAGGCCACCAAACTCAGCAAGCAGGACCAGAGGGGCTCCGTCGGCGGCGGGTCCGACCCTTACATCACCGTCAGCTGGAGCAAGTTCTCCAAGCCTCAGTTCTGCACCCGCGTCGTCCAGGACAACCTCAACCCCGTCTTCGAGGAGACGTGCGGCCTCCTCGTCACCCCGGACCTGATCCAGGCCGACGAGCAGCTCTCCATGGAGCTGTGGGACAGCGACCGCTCCTCGGCAGATGACGTCGTCGGCAAGATCGAGCTGAGCATCCAGGACCTCATCCAGCATCCCGGCAAGATGTTCCCCCACATCTCCAAGCTACGCGGCGAGGGCGCCGACAGCACCATGCCCGGCGAGCTGCACTGGGAGCTCGGCTTCTTCGGCAAGACCCAGTTCCGCAAGGGCCTCCGCAGCAGGGGCGAGGACCTGAACCTGGCCCCCGAGCTCAGGGACAAGCCTGAGCTGCAGGAGGACAGCAAGAAGAGCGAGGAGGACAAGGCCAAGGACGCCGTCATGTGCACGCCTCCCGACCCTCTGTGGCCGTCGGGAGTCCTCAGCGTCATCGTCCACCAGATCGTCGGGCTGGAGCTGGCCAACATCAAGGGCAGCGAGGGCAACCGCAAGGGCAGGGAGTACGAGCCTGCGCGTCCCGAGGCCGGCGAGGTCAAGGAGGAGCAGGGCAAGTCGCTGCCGAGCTCGTACTGCACCATCCTGCTCAACGACGACCTCATCTACAAGACGCGGTCCAAGGTGGTGTCGTCGCAGCCCATCTTCAACGCCGGTACGGAACGCTTCATCCGCGACTGGCGCAGCGCCATCGTCACCGTGGCCGTCCGCGACTCGCGCAACCGCCAGCACGACCCCATCATCGGCGTCGTCCCGCTCAAGCTGTCCGACATTCTGCAGACGGCGAGCGAGTCGACTCGGTGGTACCCCCTCGACGGCGGCATCGGCTTCGGCCGCATCCGCATCTCGGTGCTCTTCCGGTCGTGCGAGCTCAGGCTGCCGCCGGCGCAGCTGGGGTGGGACATCGGCACGTTCGAGTTCCTATCGGACCAGATCACGGTGGAGCGGTACAGGCCGACCCAGAAGGCCAAGCTTCTCCTGCGCACCGGCGGGTCGTCGGCCAAGGTGAAGAAGTCGCACATGACCAAGACGGACGACGGCAGCACATTCGACATCCGCGGGGCCGTGGGGATCGACGACAAGGACGACGACGGCGACGACGGCAAGAGCAGCCGCAGCGCCAAGAGCAGCAGCAAGAAGAGCGCCGACGGCAACAAGCGGATCCGGCTCCCCGTGCGTCACCGCTACCGGTCCCCGATCTTCATGGAGTTCCGGCCGGGCGGCAAGCGGCGCAGCGACGCCTTCGCGTCCCTGTGGCTGGTGGACCTCGTGGACGGCGAGGAGCGCGAGTTCGACATCCCGCTGCTCCGCGTGGACAACAGCCTCCGCCTGGCGCAGAGCTACATCACCGACGCCAACTACCGCGACATCCCCGACCTCGACGCCGAGGAGATAGGGCGCGTCAAGTTCCGGGGCCGCTTCTCCCCGGGCACGGACCGGGACCACATCCGCTTCGTCAGCGACAACGACTCTCGCGAGACGATCGAGACCTGGGAGGCCTGCTACGCCGAGGGCGTCCGCGGGGCCGAGGTCAAGACGGAGGTGCCCCCCTCTGTGCAGAGGCTGCACGACAAGTCCCTCACCCACGGCCGCGACATCCTCGCCCAGGCGGACGAGAGGGACAGGAAGAGGTGGCTATCCAAGGACGGCACCGACTGGTCGGGAGCATTCGGCGACGATCCGAGTGCCCTCCTGGCCAACAAGAAGAGGGGCTCTCGTCGGGACTCGCCAGACGGCAGCGACGGCAGCTATCACGAGGAAGAGTCGGACGACGATGACGGCGACGACGATGACGGTGCGAGCGCCCCCGACGCGGAGAACACGTCCCATCCATCCGAGGATGCGGGCCGGTCCAGGACCAGCAGGGAGGAGGCGGAGTCCGGTGACGACGGGGAGGACGGTCACGGTCCCCTGAGCGCGTACAGGAACTACCGCACGCAGAGCAGGGATCTGCACCGCAGACACAGAGGTCTCATGCAGTGGCGTCCCATGCGAAACGTGCAGTTTGCAAAGGATGAGGCCAAGTTTGCTATCAGAAAGGTTACAAAGCTAGGCTCTCTGAGCGGGAGGCAACCTGATGTCGAGACGGAGATTTAGAGGGGTGTGTGTGTGTGTGTGTGTTTCTTCTTCTTCTTTTTCGGTGTTTGTACTTATCAAAGAATGCTGGGCTACCTGCTGATAATTATGAGCTTTGACTTCTTCTCTAACTCGCGCCCCCCCCCCCCCCCCCCCCCCCAACTTTTTTTTTCCTTGAAAGAGACTTACGCATCCCCTATCTGTTGGTCCTATATGTATATGCATGATGCCATCACCAACTGCAGATTCGCCGTCTGCATTCACCAGCACCGTGAATCAGCTCCACCTATCGTGTCATCCGATATATTGCATATTGCGTTACGGGGTTGTCTGGCTAATTAAGGAGGCAGCGTATTGTGCATGTGTGTGTGTGTGTGTGTGTGTGTGTGTGTCCTTTCTCTATAGCTAGATCGTGACTAAGAGACACCTGACGCTACATGCTTCGTACCCCCTCATGGTATATTACAGAGATAGATGGGCCCTCGATTTTCATGATATAGTGCTGAGTCTAGGGCACGGGATAGTCTCTGCACAGTCCTAAGGAGAAGATGCAACTGACTATAATAGGGGGAAGGTATAAGTGTGATAGGCTGGCCGCACTGGTCTAGTTTACATATTATTATTCATAGCAGCCTCGAGGTACGTATTTGGTGATACCGAGAGAAAGCAGGGGAAGAGGAGAGAGGTATCTAGCTGGATAGCAAGAGTAATAGAGGTCGCTCTACGGAGTAGACCTCATCGTAATTTACAGGTCACGGCGCACTCGCCTTCCCTATAGCGACGCTTGGGAACTGTACTGCAATACTCGTAGTTATATATTACTCGGCTACTTGCGGTGTGACGTCTGCGACCGGCTGTGATGAGCCCGACCGACCACCCGGTAACCTGCAACACTCACTCACTCACTCACTGCCTCAGGCAACTGGACAAGATCCGTCCGACGTTGTAGCTGGATTCGGCACCGTTTGACCAGACAAGACATCCAACCTTCAATCATCACGCATGTCTTTACCACGACACAATCAAGGCGGGACGTAATTCTTCCTTTCCATGACACTCACCTCCACTCACTCATCTGAATACAAATACGTACGTCTCATCCGCATCCAAACAGATGAACACATACGACGCACGCTTCCCACCTAGACATGGAAGAAACTAGACATGAAAAATTATACACGAAACACGGCTCTCGCGTCAGTCCCCCACCCCCCCAATCGCCAACATGTCCTCACCACTCGACATGACGCGTAGGCCAAGGCCACCAAGCACAGCACCAGCCACACCATCCCGCCTCTCGGTGGCGATACAAGCGCCGCTGTCGTCGAGCAAGAGGGCGATGCCATATTTGGACGCAGCAGATGAGAATGGGTCATCATCATCGTCGACAGCAGCAGCAGCAGCAGCAGCAGCAGCAGCAGCAGCAGCAGCAGCAACGCCCACGGCATCACAGCGCGGACGACCCCGCGGCTGGAAGCCGGGCATGTCCTACTCCGAGCTCCGCGGTCGTCCGCCACCGCCGGCAAGGGCAGAGCGTGCGGCGCGTCCAGCACCGGGGCAGATGGTCATGAGGGGCAGGCGGGGCGGTGGTCGCAGGGCGGGCAGGAGGCTGAGCTCGCCCACTCCGCGGGAGGTGTACCGTCGGATGCGGGAGGCGCCGTTCATCCCGTACACGTGCGAGTGGCAGGGCTGCAAGGCCGAGCTGCACAATCTCGGGACGCTGAGGCGGCACGTGAAGGTTGTGCATGTCGACCGGAGCAGCGACGGACGATGTCTATGGGGGCGCAGGTGTGCGGCTGCTGCTGCTGCTCCTGCTGCTCCTGCTGCCACTGCTGCCACTGCTGCCTCTGCTGCCGCGCCGGGGGGCGCCGGTCTGGCAGGTCATGTCGAGGACAGGCACATGGTGCCGTATGCCTGGCACGTCGGTGACGGCCCGCGAAACGACAGTCTGCACGGAAAGAGCGGCGGCCGACGACGGAGCGAGGGTACGGTCGATGTGGACGAGTCTATCCCCCACTATCTCAAGGATGCGGAGGGGAACCAGGTCACGCCGTCGGTCAGGGATCAGGAGGTGGAGGATTATGCTACGTGGAGGAGTAATCGCCGCAAATTGAGGGAGATGCTCATCGAGAGGGACAGGAACCTTCCCTCCGAGTCGGAGGATGACGAGGAGGCTCCCGAGTGATTGCCGTCGGGGGGTGGGGGTCTTGAACCGAAGTCGTATATCGAATCCGTCTTTACACTGTCTCAGAGCATCTGACTGCTATTCCGCAGGAGGAAATCTCCCACGAACTCTTGTCAACAGACCACCACCCCCCGCCGGAGCTTGCTCGGCATGGTACCGGCATATGCTGAGCCGTCTTCTCTACTACGATCTGACGCCGTGCTGCATCTTGCCGACATTCTCTCTCTGCACATGGCCGGCAAAAGCTCCGCGAGTTTCGGACGACCGGTTTCCCATGTTTATTCCTGGTACGGAACTGCGGGTGCATTGCACACCGTAATGAGGAGAAAGTGAAAAAATGAAGAAGAAAAAAAAGACGTGCAGTCCAAGGGCTCCTGCTCAGCTCATCATTGACTGCTGGGAGACGTGAGATAGATCCGATCACCTCTCTCTCCCGTCAGGTGAGCCAACCTTTTCCGCCGGTGGGCTCTCGCTTGTGACTGGGCGAACCTATCGGGTTCCCATTGGGGAACTCGGAGGGAGTGGGAAGCCGATGATGAAAGAGATGGATAGGCTGCTCGTCTTGATGATGTCAACCCTGACGACGTTCTGGTTGGCCGGCCATCGTTGGGGGAAACGCGGGATTTTGTGATTCAGGCAAAAGAAGAAAGTCGACAGCCCACACCAGTCCACGGCATGTCCGATGACGGGTCCATAGTATTATATCATCATAACATATAACATGCCCTACAGGCGTTCCGCCCAAACATGATGATGGCCTAGAGGGCCGTGCATCGTCCGTCTTTCCTAAAACGTGTCTGTCGAACGGGTAGATGAGGGGTGGGGGGTTCGGGGTGGGCCTTGGCCCTCAAGTTATTACGCCAGTCTTGCAATCCCATCCCCACAAGCACCAGCCGTGGTGGGAAGACGGCATCACGACCGGGTAAAAAAAGAATAAATAATAAAAGATGAAAGATAGAAATCATTTGCAGCCAAAGGGGGGGGGGGGGGGGGGGGGGGGGGGGGGGTTCTGTTTAATACGGCATAGGCATGTATCATGTATTATCATTTACAATGCACGTACATGTAAAGTCTGAAGTGTATGGCGGCGGTGCACAGATCGAACTCGCTCTGCTACGTCTGTCCCTCTTCCACGCTGAGAGGTCAGGCTCTGATCAAGATCGAGAGATCTGCCTACGACTTGACTGTGTATGGCCGCATCTTGTACTACTGCTCCGTACAGGGAAACGTGATGCTGCAACTGACAACACGAGTTCCCGGCATGATAAGCACAGAAAGTATCATGAAGACGGGTTCGGGGAAGGCACTGAATCCGCTGGGTGACCCTCTATATAACGCACGTGTGTTGCGTATATGAGACGGGTGATTGTATTATATTCGGTATCGTGACTGGAGTAAGAATACAATCGTGATTTTATTGTTCAGAATGGTATAAGGGAAAGAGAAGAAAGAGGGAAGGCTATCATCTATCCAACTATCTATATATACATACATATATATATATATATATATATATATATACATCCATATACATACACATACACATATATATATACATACACATATATATATATACATATTCATATTCTGCACGGGAAATGCGGTCATGCGCCTGTTTTGTAATCAGTCGATACAAGTCAATCCGAGCCCCCTACGAGAAAGTCACGTGGCCTCCAGAAACGTCTTATTCCGGAACCATGCGACGGTTACTGCGGATGATGCAAGACGGTGGCAGTGGCAGTGCCTCTCTTGAGCCTTGCTAGTATCCGTACTACGTAATACTACGTACTGCCTATGGACATGGTACACTAATGCAGCGGTCATACGCCACGACTTTTTTCTTCTTCCTACTCCGCAGTGTATTGGTAATGTCGGTAATCCATAGACCGACTGTATGATCTGTTACTGCTGCATCACCAGAAGCAGTAACAGCACTGAATTAGACAGTGTTGCTGTATCACTGCCTGTGAGGCTTGATGAATTCCGGTGGTGATACCGTACAGATTGCCGGTTACTCGTACCTAAATCAGTCATTATATGCACTCGATAGTGGCGGCTTTGTGCTGCAGGGCTGCAGACCATCTGCCTCAGGCACTCGGATTCTGCTGAGCAATCCACGATCCACCTTCAGCCTCCCTCGTACTCTGTCTCTCTCCACTGACAGCGTCCAATGTCCAGTGTTGGACATTGGACGCTGCCAGTGGACAGGCAGGCAGCCAGAGGAGCCAGAGAGAGAGAAAAGATCTAGGCCACAAGTCCATTCTCCCCCCCCCCCCCCCCCCCCCCCCCCCCCCCCCCCTCCCCTCCTCTCCCTCCTCTCCCTCTCTCCCTCTCTCCTCCCTCTCTTCTCTTTCCTTCTCTCGTCCTTCTCCCCCCTCCCCCTCACATGAGAAACAAGATAAAAATAAGATGAAAAAGAGAGGCCCGACTCTTCTGTTCATCATCACACACCGTACAGGAGAGTAACTGATACTTCTCTTCTCATCCTCCACCACACACACACACACACACACACGCACTCACACACTCACACACTCTCTCCGTCACTCCTCCCTCCCTCCATCCTTGTCTCTCTCACCACTCGTCACTCCTTCTCCCCCCGCACCCCTGCAGCGAGTCGTACGTCGTAGTGCGCCTTGGCCTGTTAACCCATTGGGGGACCCGCTCCGAAACCGACGCCGCTCACTTACCAGGGCCACCACAAACCCGCACGTTTTCCCTTGGTCCCCCATTCCTTGACATTATTACCTACTACCTTGGCTCCTCCCGTCCCTGCAGCCTTGACTTTTGTTTTCTTTTTTTCTTTTGTTTTCTTTTTTTTTTTTTAAAGAAAAAAAGAGTGAGTGCTTTGCTTTGCTTTGCTTTGGCTGGTACTTCCATACTGCATCCAAACACCAATCAACCCTCTTCCTCTCTGCGTCCCAATCCAACCTTTTCTTCCTACTCTTCGCCCTCTCATTCTTCTTCTTCTTCTTCTTCTTCTACGCGTACCATCAACGCTTTCCATTCGATTCTTCATTCGACGCCTACCGTTCTCGACTGCCGTGCCTAACATGGCACCGACTGCGTGACCGATTTCATCAACCCAAAAGATCAACCGTCCCCCCCCCCTCACCTCCATCTCTCCCTCGCCGCCGATATCGACCACCATCAGCAGATATCTCGGCCAGACTAGACGTGCATCGAATCAAGCTCGAGCTCGTACATTGCGCCCCCCTCCCCTACGTACCTGCGACGAAACAAGGTCATGCATACCAAATCCTCTTCTTCTCCCGGCAATCCCGGCGGTCAAGTCAGCCATCGACTGCGCAACTTCTTTCGCATCAACAACAACAACAACAGCAGCAGCAGCAGCAGCAGCAACGGAAACACCAACACTAATGCCAAGGGCAGCGGTGCCAGCGATGATCACGACTCGTCATCGAACGACGATGCCTCTACCCCCCATCACGGCGCCAACAACACCAGCGGTGCCGGGAGGCCCTTTCGCGGTCGGCTCTTCAGCAGCACCGTAGGCCGCTTCCGCTCCCAGACCGTCACCAGCGAGGGCAACCAGCTCGAGGAGGTGCTGGGCCCCACGGCTCAGGCAAACCCCTACTTTGCCCATCAGGGCATGCCCGGCCTGCGACACCACAACGATGGCTCTGTACCCTCGACCCCGCCCTCGACCCCGCCCACCCTCCTGGTGTCGGGCCCCGACGATGAGAAGGGGGGCAAGAAGCCCACCGCCGGTACAAAGGAGGAGCTGGCGAGGAGGCTGCGCCGCGTCGCCAGTGCCCCCAACACCCAGGGCCTCTTCAACAGCAAGGACGGCGGTGCCGCCGCCATGGCCGCCGCCGATTCGGGCGGTGAGCCCGGCGGCAACGGCCACCGTCCTGCCACGGCCGAGCTCGAAATCGATCCCCTGCAGGAGGATCCGGATGCGCCCGGTCCCTTCTCCGTGGCGGATGCGAAGGTCGAGGCGGCAAAGAACCAGTCGCTGAGCCCGTCGGCCGCCGAGGACGGCCTCTCGAATCTGCCCGACCCGGCCAGTAGCGTGCCCTTCCGTCGGACCTACAGTTCAAACTCCATCAAGGTCCGCTCCGTCGAGGTCAGCCCCGCCAGCTTTGACAAGATCAAGCTCATCGGCAAGGGAGACGTCGGCAAGGTGTATCTGGTGCGCGAGAAGAAGAGTCACAGGCTCTACGCCATGAAGGTCCTGAGCAAGAAGGAGATGATCAAGCGCAACAAGATCAAGCGCGCCCTCGCCGAGCAGGAGATCCTCGCCACGAGCAACCACCCGTTCATCGTGACGCTGTACCACTCCTTCCAGTCCGAGGACCACCTGTACCTGTGTATGGAGTACTGCAGCGGCGGCGAGTTCTTCCGCGCTCTCCAGACGAGGCCTGGGAAATCCCTGTGCGAGGACGACGCGCGGTTCTACGCCGCCGAGGTCACGGCTGCCCTCGAGTACCTCCACCTGATGGGCTTCATCTACCGCGATCTGAAACCCGAGAACATCCTGCTCCACCAGTCCGGCCACATCATGCTCTCCGACTTTGACCTGTCTAAGCAGTCGGACCCCGGAGGTAAGCCCACCATGATCGTGGGCAAGAACGGCGCCAGGGTCGACTGCCTCCCGACCATCGACACGAGGTCGTGCATCGCAAACTTCCGGACGAACTCCTTCGTCGGCACCGAGGAGTACATCGCGCCCGAGGTCATCAAGGGCAGCGGCCACACGAGCGCCGTCGACTGGTGGACGCTGGGCATCCTCATCTACGAGATGCTGTACGGGACCACGCCCTTCAAGGGCAAGAACCGCAACGCCACCTTTGCCAATATCCTCCGCGAAGATATTCCCTTTCCCGATCACTCGGGTTCACCCCAAATTTCAAAGTACGTTTTTTTTTTTTCCCTTCTTCCTTTTTTCTTCTTCTTTCCTTTTTTTCACTTCTCGTACCCCCCCTCACTCTTAACACACACACACACCTTTCACTCTCCTTGCACGCTCTCTCGTCTCCCACATACAGTGCTGACTCCCCACCCCCTTCCCCCTAACAGCCTCTGCAAATCCCTAGTCCGCAAACTCCTCATCAAGGACGAGAACCGTCGGCTGGGCGCACGAGCCGGCGCCTCAGACATCAAGGCCCACCCGTTCTTCCGGTCAACTCAGTGGGCCCTGATCCGGCACATGAAGCCGCCCATCGTGCCGCATCCGCCCAAGGGCAGCGAGACGCCCAACTTCCGCAACGTCAAGGAGAGCGATAGCATCGACATTGGTGGACCGGAGAACATCAAGGGCGTTCCCCTCGACAGCGGGCTCGCCACGCCCGGAAACGAGATGCCGGACCCATTCCTCGAGTTCAACAGCGTCACGCTACATCATGACGGCGATGATGACCAGCTCTATATGAACGGTCACTCTTAGCGATTTCACGCTTCTCCTCCATCCCTCTCTTTCTCTTCTTCTCTTTGAGGAACCGGGGTCGCCAAGATTGGAGAATGAGAGACCCGGTCCGCTCTGTCCATACTATGGAACGTAAAGGCAGCAGATGAAGAAAGAAGAGAGCGCATGAGCGGAAAAGAGACGTCCCATTTCATGCCCCCCTTATGCGCGAACTTTTTTTTTTTGTATTAAAAATCTCATGGCGTGGTACACGGTATGGCGTTTTATTCCTTTTTTTTTACACTTTATTTTCAAATCCTTCTCTTCTTCACATAAGGGATCGAGGAAAAGAAGGGAGTGGGGAGGGGGAAGGTTGGAAGAGTAAAAATGGAATGAAAGCAGGCACAAACGAGGAGAGTAAATGTATATCTTTACCATCTTTTGTCTTTCTCTGGTGGTTGGTTTCTGATTTTTTCCCGTTCTTGCCTTCTTTCTTTTCTTCTTCCCTTGTTCACTTTGCATATCTTGCAAACACATGCACACAGCACAACACAGAACGGCACGGCAACACAGAAGTTGAGAAGAGCAAATAGATCCTCAAGACTCACTAATATCTCTTTTTTTTCATCCGATCTGCCGAATATGTGCGAATGGTGTAGATGTCTCAGGCACGTATGTGGGTTACACGTGAAAGACCTCGTGACCTGGTTGTTGACCGGTAGGATGGATGATTCAGGATGACTACTGTATTATCACCACTATCACTCGGGTACTTGTTTCCACACACCTGACTAGAAGAAGGATAGTTGTAATGGCGAGTACAAGTATGGCAGAGAGCATATCGAGGGGGAAGAAGAAGAAGAGGAAGAGGAAGAAGAGACCATCGGTCACGTTGGTCGTACGGTAGTATGGTGGGGTGTGTGGGATGGTCATGCTCTTCCTGTTCTCGTATCATATGATCTACATTGATGCAGGTTTCTTGGTCAGATGTATATAATATGTACCGTACCGTATGGGGGGGGGGGGGGGGTTTTAAGATGTCGATATATATTATAATGTAACATGGAATATTTTCCAAAAAAAAAAAGTATCATTTTTTTCTTTCTTTTCGTCCCCCCCCCAATAGTTCTATATATATAATAAGCATAATAAGCTTACTGCACGAAAGCAACCAAAAAAAAAATCCAACTAAGAAGAAAGAATGGGTAGGATGTCGTCCCTCCGTCGTCAGAAGAGCCTGTCCCCGCTCCGACAGAGAGCACAAGCCAACCCCCCTCCCCCCGATATGGACATGGGCCCCCTAGAAATGCAGGATGAGAAGATCATCGAGAGAGCGACGCAGAGGGCCCGCGACAGGCGGAGTCTGCCTCGGTCCAGACGGCCACGAACCCGCTACAGAACGTGGTACCGCGTCTCGGAGACGGAAGACGACGCGGCAGACCGCGACTCGTCGCCGGGGTACTGCATCGAACGGGACGGCGAGGGGCACACCGGGAAAAGGGGGAGGACGAGGACGAGGAGGAGCGGGCTCGTCGACACGCAGGATCTGCGACGCCGACTGCTGGCCTCGAGGAGCGGCGACGGGCGCATCGCCAGGCTGCCGCGGCCCGCCGGGGACGGCAGCCTCATCGTGGTGGACGAGTGGCCGCTGCGGCAACGGGTGGCGGATGCCCTCGTCCGCGAGGGAGGGGTGGACGCCGCCTTCCTGGACGCGCACGCCCGGAACGCACCGTGGGTCAGCACCGGTGGGGGGCCGGGGGTGGCGTGGGAGTACCCCGTGGCGACGAGCCGCGGGGGTGCGCGGTTCCGGCGCATGTCGCTCTGGACGGGCACTCCAGAAATCCTGCTCGTCGGCCACGGCGACGAAGACAACGGCGACGAAGACGACGGCGGCGGCGGCACGGACATGGAGGGCGAGCTGCTCGACGGCAAGGCACCGGGCGAGATAGCATACAGACGGTGGATAGGGTTCCTAGGCAGGCTCCTCAGCGCGCCGCCGCACGAGCCTACGCTGCGGGCAGTCCTGTCATCCCTGGAGCGCAACCAGGACTCGTCACGGTTCGCGCCCGAGGCCGCCGCCGCCGCCGCCGCCGCCGCGTGCTCGTACGACGTGTGGACCGCCCTGGTGGAGCGTGTGCATCGTCATCTGGTCCTGCGGCGGGCCGCGCACACGTCGACCCGGCAGGAGGCCGGCAGGGGGCAGGAAGGCAGAGACGAGGAGAGGGACAAGGGTCGCAGCGCCGCCGACAGACGCAGCCTGGACCGCCTGTCGTACCTGGGTGGCGTGCTGCTCCCCGTCACGGTGGTGTCGGGCGTGGTGTCCATAGGCGGGCAGTACGGCCCCGGGGGGGGCAGGTTCTGGGTCTTCTGGCTGGCCAGCCTGCTGGGGAGCGTGGGCGCCGTCATCGTCATCTACCTCGATCAGGTGAGGACGCTGCCGGTGTGGATCGAGGTGGCGGTCGATGCCGTGCTCGAGGAGAGCGAGGTCGAGTCCCACGATGGCGAGGACGGGAACAAGGAGGCCGAGGCCGGCGCGGACAGGCTGGTCGTCAGGAGACTGCAGATGGTCGGGGGTGAGCCGCTCGTCAGGGCCTGGAGACGCAGAGATCTCGGTTGGGCCGGCGCCCTCAAGAAGGTGAGCGGGTATTATCGCTGGAGGGGCATGCCGGGTGGTATGCTGTTTCATGTGCCGCCGAGGGAGACTTGATACATATATATATTACACAATGTATAGAAATCTTTTCTGGCGAAGAAATATACACGGAACACGCTTTTTGCGTACCTTTTTTTTTTTTCTTCTTTCTGACACATACAAAACAGGAAAGAAAGAAGAAAAAAAGAGTTTACAAACCATTCATACGCTGACGTCCGAGACCGATCTTGTCCTTTCCATCCATCCATGGTCGCAGACACTCGGGGATACGCACCGTCTTGGTGTCGTCGTCGTACCCGTTCTCCAGGAGGGCAGCGATGATGCGCGGGGCGGCCAGGGCCGTCCCGTTGGCCGTCCAGGGGAAGGTGAGCTTGTCGCCGGGCAGGCGCATGCGCGTGTTGAGCCTGCGAGTCTGGTAGTCGGTGCACAGGCTGGCGGACGAGACCTCGCCCCAGCCGTCCTCCTGTTGGGACTCGGGGCTGCTGCCGCGGCGGACGGCGCGGCCGGGGAACCAGGCTTCCATGTCGACCTTGCGGGTGGCCGAGGCGCCGAGATCGTGGGCTGGCATTTCCAGGATGCGCGCGGGGAGCCCCAGCGACGACAGGATCTCGGTCTGGATGTCGAGGATCTCGTCGAACACGTCGTCGGCCGCGTCCTGGTCCGGCGGGGTCCACGCAAACATCTCGACCTTGGAGAACTCGTGCACGCGGTACAGACCCTTGGTGTCGGCGCCGCGGGCCCCCGCCTCGGCGCGGTAGCACCGAGACACGGCCACGCGCCGCATCGGCAGGTCGTCGGCCCGCAGCGTCGACGCCGCCTTCATGCCCGCCAGCGAGATCTCCGACGTGCCCGTCAGGCACATCTCGGGCGCCCCGCGCTCGGCGTCGTGCCGCGTCTGCGCCACCGTGTACACCTGCTGTTCGCCGCTCTGGTCGCGCGGCTGGAACCCGCATGCCGAACCGATGTGGCTGTACACCATGCTCGGCGGTGACACCTGCGTCCAGCCGTGCCGCGTCACCGCCGCCAGGGCGTACTGGATGAGCGCCTGCTCCAGCTGGGCCGCCTCTCCCACGAGGTAGTACCATCCCCAGCCGGAGGCCGTGGCCGCGGCCGCGAAGTCCAGGATCCCCAGGTCCATCCCTATCTGCACGTGTGACAGCGGCTTCGTCTTCGTCTTCGTCGCCCCCTCCCCGTCCGCCTCGGCCGCAGCCGGAGCCGGCACCTGGTTGATGTAGCTGAGCAGGACGGCCTCGTCGCCCGGCGGCGTCTCCTCGCTCGTCAGGTTGGGCATATCCAGAGCTAGCTCCTCCATGGCCGCTAGCACGCGCGACTCCTGGTCCGTCATGCCCGACAGCTCCTGCTTGAGCCGCCGCGCCTCGGCCTGGATCTCCTCGCGCGTCATGCGCCGCACCTCGTCCTGGACGTCATCATCTGAGCTGGTCATCGGGTTGGACAGCTGCCGGCGCAGAAGATTAGACCGCTCGCGGATCGCCCGCCCGCTGCGCGTCAGGTCCTGCCACTCCGCGTGGAGATCGACGATGCGCTTGGCGTGGCCCGCCTGCCGCGCGTAGTTGCGGTCGATGCACGTCTTTTCGTACAGTTCCGGGTTCTGCCGGATCTTCTTGATGTCCAGGATCGGTTTGGGGGCCGACGACGGACGCTTGGACAGAGAGCTGCTGCTGCTGCCATCCGGTGGGCCGTTGCCGGTAGCCTCTGATGAGAAGAAGGCTCGGGCTGACGGAATCCTGTGCTGCGGCGTCGCCCTGAGCCGACCGGCTCGGCAGCGGAGACGGTGGGCGGTTCTGTTCATGATCTCATCTGTCTACCCTATGGTACTGGATAGCTGATATGAGAAGTGGGCTGATTCCCTTGTCTGGCTGAGATTGGGGGGGGGGGGGGGGGCTTGGATGGGTTGGCATGTAGTTGATATGTTCAAGAATCGTTCGGCTGGGGGTTGTAGCTTTTGAACTTTCTTCTCCCCGATTAGGCTTAGCGCCAATGGGTCGGAATCGGAATTGGGACCTCCATTACTTGCTGTGTCACAGTCTGGTTCTCATACGATTGTGGCAGATTCATCTTCTCTTCCGTTATTGCTTTCTTGTTCGTCTCCCTTATTCTCATTGTATCATCGAACATGCTACCTGGAATTGCCAAGGCTGTTCCCAAGTGCTCTATACACAATCATCCATCGTTGGTGGTGGTTGAACCAACAGCCCGCATCGCATGCATCTTCTCGCATTCACGCACCAAAAGTATAGTAAGAGGGTATCTAAACATTCCGTCCCTTCCAAAGGTCCAGCTCCATCCATCTGCTTCATATGACGCCCCATTGCCCCAATGTCCAGTTGGCATGGTGCCCACCAGTTCCACGCACCAGCCCACCGGGCCCCATGCTCTGCCGTTGCTGCTGAACCTTGGCATCAACGTCGCCAGGCCTGGACGCTCCCCCGGCACCATGCTGCAGCCATAGGTCACGGTCGACAGTCGCCAGGGCCGGGATCTTGAGATGCGTCGTCAGGCTCGCGCCAGCCCAGGGCCCCAGAGAGTGCAGCGCGCGAATGTGACCCTGGATGAGGCGGGCCTGGTCACGGTGCTTCCTGACCTTGGCCTCGGTGGGGTCCTCCTGGCTCTCGGGTTCGCTGTAGGCGGCCGTCCGGCTCGAGGCGCCGCTGCGGACTTCCTCGGACTGGTCGGACACGGGGGATGCCTCGGCGTCCTTGGTGGGCGAGGATGCGCCCCCACCGCCGCCGCCGCCGCCGCCGCCGGTTGCCGACGATGATGACGACGACGCCCTCCGCTGGAGCTTCTGGTTGCGGCGCAGCTGGTCGACGCCCTTACCCGAAGTGGCCTCCCAGCCTCTCTGCTCAACCGTGGCCGTCAGCTCGTCGATGACGCGTTCCTTCAGTCCGAGGATGTTGGAGCAGCCGCCCACGAAAATGATACGCGACATGCATATGGCCCTGACGTCGATGGGCAATTGGAGGAGGTGCTTGTATACGAGGGTGTGGATGGGCAGCTCGTGGTCGTCAAAGGCGGCGGCCTGTGCTGACGACGCGAAGAAGCTGTCGTCACAGACGTCGGCCATCTTCTCCAGTGAGACCTCGACCGTCTTTGGCGGCGAGGTCGAGACCAAAGGTACTCGCGTCACGCGGTTAGGTAGTGCCGATGCGTTCGGGGCCTCGGCGTCCGTCTCGTCCTGCTCCTCCACCGTCTCGAGTTGCGCGGAGTCCCTCTGGGAGGACCTAGAGGCCGCCGCCCTGCACCACATGAGACGGCACATTATGTCCTCGCTCTCCTCGAAGCTTATGACCCGCTGCGGCTCGGCGGCAGCGGCAGCATGTTCGCCATGGCTCCCAGTGATCAGCGGCCGCAGCACCTTGGCATACACCTCGTCCAGCAGATATCGGCCTGCCCTGACGGTGCGCGTGCTCTTCACCTCGCGGTACTCGTAGACGCTCGTGACAGCCGTCTCTGTCCACCCAATGTCCACCACAAGGGCAGAACGCACGCCGGCAGCCACGGCCGACATGCTGGGCGGAGACAGCAGTGAGACCAGCGGGGTCTGAAACCTGCCAAACACCGTGTCCAGGACTGTCGATAGCAGAGGTAGTGGCACCGCCGAGTCAATGACGAGGGCCATCCTACGTGCCTTTGAATCGATGAGCAGATAGCTAGGAAGGAATTCATGTGAGCTGGACGTGTGGTTGAAAATGGAAGAAAGACCGCGAGCGAGCGAGGCGTCTTACCGTGAAAAGGCCTCTCTGATAAGACGGTCGAGCTTGTCGTGGATGAGGCCCAGGTCTGTCTCACGCACATCGTAGCGCCATATCTCATGCTCCGCCGCCCACTCGATGTGTCCAGAGCTCCTTGCGCCATCAGCTGTCGATAACGGCTGCCATGCTCGAAAATCACCCACGCGCCTCTGCTGATCCAACCCGCACTGCAGCGTGGCCTTGGGCAGCGAGTCGCCCGCAAATCCGGCGCGCACGAAGCGCGAGCCCAACTCGAGGACGATGATGTCCTCGTCGGCCCGCATGGTCGACGGTGAGCCGTACGACACCGCCATGGAACGAGGTGGCGTATGAGGCGTCGTCGTCGATACTCCCGGCGGCGGCCCCTGAGATCGTGAGGAAGGTCCGGAGCGGATGCTGGCCACACTCCTATGAGCCAGCGTGGGCCCCGTGGCCGACTCCATGACGATGACGCGCGGTCTTGAATGTGGTTATGTGTGCCTGTGTACACAGTGTAATGTGTGTTTGGTGCTCGTCGATGAGCGAAACTGTCTTAGCCCATGAATGCGTATGTGAGAAGCCCAGAATTTGTGGCTGATAAGACTGTGGCTGAACCCCCAGCCCAACGGCCAGCGACCACCTATCCTAATCCTATGCACCACAGCGCCTTTCACAGAGGTTATAGGGGCTATCTCATCGCTGAGGCCCCCTGAACCCCGACAACGCCACCCCGGCAACTGAGTTCAATGTTTACTTGCATCTTCTCCTCATTTGCATATGCCTGGTCCCCATCCGAGAATTCATCAACGTGAATCCATGAGCCCGTAAACGCATCCAAGACACCCTTCATGGGAATCAAAGGGTAACTCTTCTCGAGGATCTTACCACATATATTCTCGCTGTAGGGAGACCGTCATTGGCTAACATAGTCTGCAGCATCTACCCCGAGTTAGGAAGGGGCCATCGTGTGGCTCTGGCAAGACTCACAGCCGACAGCTTCCGTGAGAAGGGGCGCCCTCTCCGCCTAGCCATAGACTTTGCCATATGGCAGTTCCAAGCGCAGGCCGCTCGGGGAGGTACCAACCCAGCCGTCAGGACCCTCTTCTACCGCCTGGTGCGGCTCCTGGGTACCCCCGTACAGCCCATATTCGTCTTTGACGGGCCCAACAAGCCCGCCTTCAAGCGAAACAAGCGATCGGGCCGTGGCGATGGCGTGGCCATTGCCCAGGCCAAGCGGCTGATCCGGCTGTTTGGCTTCCCCGTGCACGACGCCCCCGGCGAGGCCGAGGCCGAGTGCGCCCTCATGCAGAGGCGGGGCCTGGTCGATGCCGTGCTGAGCGAGGACGTCGACACCATCATGTTCGGCTGCACCCGTACGCTGCGCAACTGGTCGGCCGAGGGCAAGGGGTCCAAGGCGCCCACCCACATCACCCTGTACGACGTACACGACATGGGGCTAGCCAACCTGGGACTCGATAGGGAGGGCATGGTCCTGGTCGCCCTCATGAGCGGCGGCGACTATCTCCCCGACGGCATACCCAGGTGCGGCGTCAAGGTAGCCTGCGAGGCGGCCAAAGCCGGCTACGGAAAGTCGATATGTCGCCTCAAGGTGTCGGACGGTGAGGGCCTGCGCGAGTGGCGCAGGTCCCTGGTCCACGAGCTGCGCACAAACGAGAGCGGCTACTTTCGCACAAAGCACATGGCACTCTCCATCCCCGAGGATTTCCCCAATCTCGAGGTGCTGCGCTACTACACACACCCCGTCGTCTCGCCAGAGTCGGCCATGGAGTCTCTGCGGCAGAAGCTGGAAGGGGGCCCCGACGAGCTACACCTGGACGCCCTCCGCGAGTTTGCCCGCGAGACGTTCGACTGGGACTACCGCATAGGTGCCGTCAAGTTTATCCGCGTCCTCGGAGCCGCCCTCCTCGTCCGCAAGATGTTGCTCGGGGCCGCCGACAAGGATGGAACCACCATCCAGCGCATATCGGGCCGCAGGACGCACTTTAGCACCGACGGCGAGCCGGAGCTCCGTCTCAGCTTTATGCCTCGGGAATTGGTACCCATTGATCTGTCCCAGGAGGTGGATGAGGAGATTCTCGTGTCTCGGGACGGCCTCGCCCTTAACAGTGACGAAGAGGTCGAAGACGGGGGCTCGCTACCTCCGGCTTCCCAGGCCGCCAAGGTATTTGACGAGACCAAACCCGATCTCGCCTGGGTACTCGAGGACGTCGTCAGGAATACGACGCCCCGCGCCTTTTCTGCATGGGAAGGAGCAGAACGGGCCAAGGCCGTCCGCAAATCCCCCACCAAGAAGACAGCAGCCAAGGGCAAAGCGTCCGAAAAGACCAAGAAGACGACGGCAGCGACGGGCATGCAACGAGGGGCCATTGACAAATTTGTGCGCGTCACCAAGACGTCGGTTCTCGAGAACGCAGCCATGCTCGAGAAGGGTGGCAGCTCTGCTACTCCTGCTGCTAAAAAGAGTCAGCCCCCAGGCTCTCGCCCCTCCCGGGCACCATCATCATCACGACAACCACAGAAGGAGAAGGAGAAGCCGTTCGTTACATCGCCGTCGCTATCGCCGTCGTCAACTCCTCCCCGGGAACCAAGTAAGCCCACATCTGAGCCGAGCGAGGACCCGGACCAGCACCCGGCCGATCCCTGGACAAGCCCTGGCTCACTACTCACGCCCACTAGGACCCCCTTTATCTCTGAGCGACCACACCAACAGCCTCAGGAGACGATTGTCATCTCGTCGAGTCCTGCCGCCACGGAAGCATCCCCTCCGCCATCACCACCACCACCATTTCCCATATCAGCAACAACAGCTGCCGCACGTGATCCTAGGCCGCCTCCCGCTAGCCGCAAGGAAGTGCCTAGCCCTGTACGCTCGCGTCCTGCCCCGAGTCAGGTTGGGAAGGGCGTGAAGGCGGCCGCGGTGACTGGTTCGCCCGAGTCGGCGGGGTACAAGCAGACATCCATGGACATGTTTGTGGAGAAGAAGAAGAAGAAGAAGAAGAAGAACCAGGCAGGAACCAATGATGGCAGTTCTTCATCTCAAGGTCAAAAAGACCAACTAGAAGACCCTTTTGGCCCGGGTGATGATGACAAACGGGACGTGGACGGCGCCGCCACTGCAGAGGCTGGTGATCAGAAGAAGAAGAGGCTTCTCGTCCCGCGGACCAGCGCAGTCGGCTTCTTCAAGGAGATCGAGGTCGACGAGGACGTTGCGGACGAGACGGCCTCTAGGGAGGAGCGTAGACTCAAAGCAAGCGGCCAGGCGCGCGGCGTAATACGGTATAGCGACGTATCGATCATTGATCTGACGCAATGACTTGCATGCGCAGATAGCAAATATCAGTGTATTAGTATCCATGATGCATTTTGACTTTACATTTTTTTATTTTTTTTAAAAAAAGGGAGGGGGGGTAGGGGGCTGGCAGGCGTTATATATATATATATAATATATTGTATACTATGGGACGTGTTCACATTGAAACGTTTACATTCATAAAAACGAGAAAAGAAACGTCTATCCATTGTGACTCCCTTTTTTTCACTTTTTTTTTGTTCTACACAATAATTACTCGATCATATATATGTGTGTATATGTGTGTATATATATTATACCCATATGTATTCGAGGTTCCCCGCAATGAATGGGCTGTCCTTCATCAGGCATCCTCCATCTCGAGATCCGGGTCGACCTCAGTCCCGAGATGCCTATCCTCGAGGAAGCGTCTGCCGACCAAGGCGTCTGGCAGGTAAGTCTGTCGAACCTTTCCGTCGCGATAGTTGGGGTTGTACTTGTACTCTGCGCCGTGGCCTAGGTCGCGCATGAGGCGCGTGGGCGCGTTCCGCAGGTGCAGGGGGACGGGGAGGCTGGCGACGCCGGGCTCCCTGAGGGCGGAGTAGGCGTTGTTGAGAGCGCGGTAGGCGCGGGTGCTCTTGGGGGCGGAGCAGAGGGCGACGCAGCAGTGGGCGAGGGGGATGCGGGCCTCCGGCATGCCGATCTGCTGGGTGGCCGTGTAGGCGGCCGTGGCGAGCGGGAGGAGGGAGTTGTCGGCCAGGCCGACGTCCTCGGAGGCGATGACGACCATGCGGCGGGCCACGAAGAGCGGGTCCTCGCCCGACTGGAGCATGCGCGCGAGGTAGTACAGTGCCGCGTCGGCGTCGGAACCCCGGACGGACTTGTGGAAGGCCGAGATGTTGTCGTAGTGCTGGTCGCCGCCGCGGTCGTACACGAGCGTCTTGGTCAGCGAGCCCTTGATGTCGTCCTTTGTCGGTGCGTCGGGTCCGCCGCGGGACGCGAGCGACATGGCCAGCTCCAGGAGGTTGAGGGCCGTGCGGGCGTCCCCGTCGCTGAAGCGGGCCAGGTAGCTCAGCATCTCGTCGTCGAGCAGGTGCTGCGTCCCCCCGCCGGTGGCGCCGGTGCTGGTGCCGGTGTCGGTGCCGGCGCCGGCGCCAGTGCTGTTGTCTGTGCTCGTGCCTGTGCCTGTGCCTGCGCCTGCGTCTGTGCCCGTGCCGAGTTCCTCCGCCATTGCCCTGCGTAGGATGCGGACAATGTCCTCGGTGTCGAGCGGTCTGAGGGTAAAGGTTCGGCAGCGCGACAGCAGGGCGTTGGCGACCTTGAAGCTCGGGTTCTCGGTCGTGGCGCCGATGAGCGTGACGGTGCCGGACTCGACGGGGTTGAGGAAGACGTCCTGCTGGGCCTTGTTGAAGCGGTGGATCTCATCGCAGAAGACGATGGTCCGCCGGCCCGTGAGCGCCAGGTCGTTGGCCGCCTCGTGGAAGATGCGCTTGCACTCCCCCACCCCCGTGCTCGTCGCGTTCATCTCGATGAACCGGCTGCCCACCCGGCTGGCTATGCACCGCGCTATGGTGGTCTTGCCCGTCCCCGACCCGCCCCAGAGTATCATGGACGGTACGCGGCCCGACTCAATCAGGGCCCGGAGGACGCCGTTCGGGCCCACCAGCTCCTGCCCGCACACGTCGTCCAGCGTCCGCGGACGCATCCTGTCGGCCAAGGGGGCGGCCTTTTGCGTCCGCGTCCTCTTCGATGCCCTCTCATCCTGATTGCTATTCTGATGTCCTCCTCCTCCTCCTCCTCCTCCCTCCATCTCTTTGTCTTGCCGGCCAGCATCCTTGCCGTCGGCCGTCGTTGTTCGCGTCGATGTCGTCGTCGTCACTGCCCCGGGTCCCTCGTCAAATGACCTCTTCTGCGCCCCGTTGGCGGCCGGCGTCACGACTGTCCCGTTCGGGTGCCGTTTCGCTACGGGCGTCGAGAAGAAGTCGGACGCTCTGCGCTTGACCGGTACCGACCCTGCTGCTGCTGCTGCTGCTGATGATGACGACGACGACGATGATGGTACTGTCCCTGCTGACCCCTTGCTGACCCCGTTCGTCTGCGATTGCTGTGATGATGGTGACGATCCCGCCAGATGCGTCTCGCAGTTGTTGTCGATGTGACTGTTGATGTCTGAGGTGGTGACTAGCTTGGAGCAGATGGGGCAGTTGACTGCCATGGTCGTCGTGGTTTCGGATCCCCTCGTCCCAAGAGGCGGTGATGTGGTTTGGGGAGAAGTGATGACTGTACTGTGGCAACCGGTGGTTTTTTTTTGGCTGGCTGGTTGAACTGGACGGTGAGAGACGCGTTTATTAAAGTGGTCATGACGCGCCTGCGGTGGTGTGGGGCTGTACTTTCTCTCCGTCATCTCTACCTCTTCGTCGCTCTGTTACTACATCTTACTCTGCTACAGTCGACTGGAACAGATATCCATACGCTTCTGTATATCCTGAACAGGAGTTCGAGAACAAGTGCCGCTCTATGACCTTATTCTCCATTCGCTGACCGGTCATAGCTTCCACTTACCCTTGATAGTATCAATACAGACAGGTAGGTATACAGGTTCACGAAAAGAAGAGATAGAAGAGAAATATAAATGTGAATGTATTCGCTTCCGTAAAAGGTGTCAACTACACCTAATCATCCCTCCCACGCCATGAAAAATACGCCTTGCGACCATTCGGGTATGAGACGAAACCAAGCAAGCAGAAAAGGAGGGAGAGAGCTGCCCCTCCAGAAATTCCTCAATGGTCGATGTAGTAGCAGTGTAGCACTTTGGTAGATGTAAAAGATTCCCGTCAGTTCCACCCATCCCCCCCGATGCAAACATGCCCGGTAGAAGGAAGAAAGATGGAGAGTATACAGACAAGGGGAGGACAGTGTGAACGAGGCCAGATGGATGTGTTCCTCTTCCTCTTCTTCCTTCCCTTCGTCCATTGCTGTCGAAGATGAAGTCACAAGGTACGTTTAGGAGGATAGGACTTCTTTCATCGGAAGGAGGGGGGTAGAGGAAAGATGGAAAAGGAAAAGGATGAGAAGCGCAGATCAGCCAAACGACTTGAGAGATCGTACCTTGGGCGAGGCGAGCCCCCCCTCGGCCTTTCGCTTCCCCAACACCGTGGCCGACGTGTCGGACGAGAGTCGGGGGGTTCCCTCCCTATCCCTCGTGGCCTCGTCGTGGCACGAAGCGTGGTACGCGCGGCCCCCGACGAGCACGGCGTCTAGCCACACCCACTCCTGCGCCGTGTCGAGCCACTTGTTCTCGAACTTGTCCTGGCAGATGGGGCAGACGTTGTTGACGCCGCTGGTCGGCTCCGGCACCGCCATGTACTTTGGCTTGGCCGCCTCGGCAGCCGCCTTGGACGCCTCGGCCGCCCTGTCCTCCTGCGCGGCCAGGTGGTCCGAGTCGACGACCTCGCGCGACTGCAGCCAGTCCTGAGCGTCGACGTACCAGCTCCGGTGCGAGCCGCGCTTGTCCGCCTCGGCGCCGCGCTGGTGCACCCGGAAGTGCCAGTCCATGTGCGCCATCTTCTTCTTCCGACCCTCCTCGTCCGTCTTGAAGCGCCGCCCGCACTGGGAGCAGGGGGGCCCGAGCTGCTCGTATAGTGAGGAGACAATTTTCGGCGGTGCCCTGGGTGGTATCCGAGTCAGTCGAGTCTCCGTCGTGCTTTTCTTCCTCCTGCTGCGTTGCGTTGGGGGGGGGGGGGGGGGCCGGTACTCACGGTTGCCTGAGGGATGCCGTATCCAGGCCTCCACGGATCGGTGTCCCCATGGCGGCCATGGCTCGTTGGGCAGAAAGGATGTTGGCGATGTTGGCGGGGATCGCGGGCGGCGCCGGCGCAACCGCCGGTGCTGCTACCACGTTGGCGGGCGTCGGTGTAGATGGCAAGAGTCCGACCATACGGAGCTGGTCTAGCAGCGAAGAGGCACCGCCGCCGCTCGGTTCAGGAGCCGGTGCTGGCGCCGGTGCCACGTACGGTGCTGCTGCCGGGGGCGCGGCGACGGCAGGTGGCGGGTTGGGAGTCGACCGTTGCGACGACTGCCGTGCCATGAGCGTCGCCAGGGCTCCGGCGCCTAGGAGGGAGTCCAGAGTCAAGGGAGCTTGGCCGGACGGCTGCGACGCCGGAGCTACGGGAGCTGCCGGCTGGTGCTCGCGGGGCAGGATGGGGTACGCGGACGGCTGCTGATGCTGCGGCGGTGCCGGGTTCGGGCGGTGGGACGAGCTCCTTAGTGTCACGGCGGCCAATTCTGTTACTTGGTTTTCAATGAGCGCCAGCTGCTCCGGTGCCACGCGCCCGCTCTGTACAATGGGCTGGAGATCCAGCAACGCTCTTAGCCTAGTCTGGGCGCCTGTATCGTGCGGGTTCTGCGAGGCTTCCGCCCTCATGGCCACAATCAGATTATGAATGTCACTGCTCAACGTCTCTACGTGGACTCCGCCCGGCAGTGCGCCAGTTCCGTAGCCGGGCTGCTGATGAGGTACGCCGGCGGGTACCGGGGTGGGTTGCTGAGAGTAGGGCTGGCGTCGGGTCAGTGAAGCCGTCATGGAGCTGTCATGTCGGGCACGCTTCATCCGTGGGCTTTATCCGTGGGTCTGCTGCTCACCTGTCCTTGTCCGGGGTACATCATCTGGGCACTGGCGGGGTCGGCCGATGGCATGCCGTACGGATGGGGGTGCGACTGGGGGGTCAGGCCGGGAGTCGCGCGCATCGCGCCTGGCGGTGTCGGGCTGTTTCGGTGGGGGGTCATGGCAGACCTTGGCCTGCCCGGGATCTGCGTCTGCGGCATCATGGCCGCCTTGGCCTTCATGAGGGCATTCTCGATCGGTCGGACAAGCTCGGGCGAGAAGACGGGCCGGGTATCTAGGGCTCCGGCGACGGGCAGCTTCCACGTCTTGAGCATCTCCTCCATGCGCTTGCGCGTCGGGTTGTCGACAACGGTGTAGGCTTCCATGAAGATCTTGAAGAGATTCCGGCCGAGGTATAGCGTGTAGGGCGTGCCGACATTCTTGACGATGGAATCAAGGACGTATAGGGCTGGCAGCTTCTTGGCCGGCGCCGTCTGCGGGTAGGAATCAGCCATCAAGTCCTTCCACACAAGCACACGCACACGGAGGCAGTAGGTAGCGAACGCATTGGAGAGAGGCGAGCCTGCTTTCAGACAGCAGAGCTGGCCGTCTTTCAGGACCTGCTCGGATCGTAGGGGGGTACTTACCTTGATGATATGTTTTTCGAGTACTTCGGCAATGGCGAGAGCATGGTTCGTATTCTCTCGGGCAATCACTGTCAGATTGCTGATCTCGAACCGCGTGTTCTGGCTGAGATCCTCGAGGGCCTGACGATAGTCCTCGGCCACTTCCTCCGCTTCATTCGACATTTCCGAATGCGCGTGTGTGGTCTTGCTCGGTTCTAGTAGTTTTTTTTCTTCTTTTTTTTTTTTTTTTGCCTGAGAAGGTGTCGCGACCCAGCAGCAGACGGCGATGATCAAACGGTTGGCCGCCGAGCGGGACCTTTTTAAAGAGGACTTGGCGGCAGAGGGAAAAGGAAGAGAGAGAGAAACGTTTCCCCGAGACACTAGGAGGAAGCACAGTCTAAATCAATGTCCCAAGGAATTTATTCCCAAGTCACTTTTTGGTGGTTGGCGAAGCGGAATCCCCCCTGTTCACCATAAAAGAAGAAATGCACCCAGATCCAGCCAAAAAAAAAAAAAAAAAAAAAAAAGCTCTAGGACATCCAAACACCACCGAATCAACCCAGCATGAACCAGTAAGAAGATTACCGAGAGAAGGGAGAGGGAGAGGGAAGCCACGTGCTATTCAGCTGTGTTGTCTTCTGGCTTCGATCTCGTGGTTCTACCTACGTTGAACGCGCTGAAATGCTTGGACAAAAAGGGCAAGATGGACGACAAGATCGCGTCCCTCTGTTCAGAAGGATAGAAAATGCCGCCTTTGGCAAGTTAGGATGGGCGGTATGGAACTGCAATGATTCCACGATACAAGTGGCGATGCCCAAGCCACGGTTTCCGGTACAGATGAGCGCCCTGGGGGTGGGAGTTGGTGAGGATGCTTGGGCGAGGTTAAACGAGGGTGAAGGAAGGATGGAAGATACTAAAGATATCGCGAAGCTAATGCTGAGGCTGGGCCAAGCTAGTGTCCACGTGATTACGTGATCATATCTGGTGTCAGTACTCGTTCTCGTACGACGAGGACATTGGAACGAACAGAATCACCCTACACACCACCAAAATACCAGACGTTCCGTCACAGCAAGATTACCTTGATCAGTCGATATCCATATATATATATATATGTATACATACATATATGATCATGTTGAATTGGATAGAAAACGCAGAAGAGCGAAGGAGGTAAAGTGAAATTACATAGAGGGACAGATTAATTGGTACTGCTTTTTGGCATAGCCCAAACGGGGGGGTATTTCGAGAAAGCAGACGAAACAAGAAGAAGCTGGAACTCCCGACGCGTATCTGAACGAGATGAAAACCGTCGCCCTTACACCCCATGCTAAAGAAGATAAATGACAGAAGGAAAGGCGAAGAGGGAGAGATGAGGCAAAGGAAATTTTCTTCCTTCCTGTCTAGAACCGCGACATGTTGGCCTCCGAGTACCGGCTACTAGCCGGCCTTCCCTTCCAAAAAGCCGGGTGAAAGGCATTGCTCGGACGGGCGAGACCGGGCTGGATGGGGCTGGTCTGGGACTCGTCGTAGTCGTTGTGGGAGGGGTCGTCGTGTGCGTCGTGGGCAGCGACACGGCTGCTGTCCTCGGACTCCTTGCCGTGAGGAATAGGATGGCTGATTTCGAAGCGGGGAAGCGAGGAAGAAGCGTTCTTGCCCCCACCACGACCGCCGCTGGCCATGCCGGCCTTCTGCTTGGCCTTGCCGAGAGCGAAGCCGAAGACGCGACCGGCCAGGGTCTTCCTCCCGCCGCCGCCGGACGACGAGGATGCGTAGGCGCTCCCGACGTCGTATTCCTTCGACGGGTTGGAGGCGTCGGCCGAGGCGGCGCCGATGGTGCGGATCACACGGACGTTCTGGCCGCCGAGCCAGTCATGCAGGGCGAAGGTGGCGACGACGTTGAGCAGACCGAAGACGAGGTTGAGGATGCCCGAGGCCAGGACGAGGCGCCACCAGGGCATGCCCAGGTCGTCGGCCTGCATCTTGGGGTTGTTGAGCTTGCCCAGGATGTCGCAGCCGACCATGACGAGGGCGAATCCGAGCCAGCCCAGGCCGTGGCGCGGCGAGAAGGCCGGCCAGTGCTGCTCGAAGAAGCGCTTGCCGAAGGGGAGCTCGGAGATGGCGAGGAACAGGGAGACGGCGCTCATGAAGACGAGGGAGGCGGCGTCGAAGACGAAGTAGGCCTTTGTCATGTTGATCTTGACGGCCAGGGCCCAGAAGGAGACGACGGCGGTGCCCAGGACGATGATGGTGCACACCCGCAGGACCTGGAGGATGACCATGCTGACGCCACGCTTGACGAAGCCGCCGAGGAGGAAGGCGAAGACCATGGTGAGATGAGCCAAGAGCGTCTCGGGGGAGGGGACTGATGACAGAGGGATGGCTCGTCAGCAAGGGGGAAAGCACACGATGACAAGACAGCGCTGGGGATTCGGTTTTCGGAGAAGGAGGGAGAAGACTCACAAAGGTCTGATCAGAGGGGGTATTATCTCCTTCGTATATGATACCGGAGGCTGCTCTCCCGCTCCCACGGCAAAGAGCAGATGATGATGATGACGATGATGCACAGAGGAATGCAATAGAAACAGGCCAGCCTGTATATCGTGACAAATGTAGGATGAACGAAATCAAGAAGAAAGGAATCAGAAACAGAACAAAGGAAAAAAAGAACCAAAAAAAAAAGAAGGGAAACAAGAGAGCTGCTGAGGGTTAGTAGGCCGACCTGAGGGTATACATTATTGTCTCGAGAGAACGAATGGATGGGACAGGCAGCATTGTTCTTATTATACATATATTCACTTTGAGATATCTCTGCTACTACGTTACAGCCCACCACGAATGAGTGTGATAGTTACCGCCCTGACCGATTCACCAGTCAGTCTGACGAGCAAGCAAGCGCCCGACTGGAAAGACCATGGATCAGGAGTAGAAATAGAACTAAAAAATAAAAAATAAAAATCCCGATGGACAAACCGTCCGAGAATAGGGTGTCACCATGTATATGTTTCCACACGAGCCTTGTCTAACCACGATGGAGCAAGATGATTCGATGATCATAAAAAGTAATTGAAGAAGAGAAGGAAAGAAATTAAGAAGGAAAAAACAACGAACGGATACTAGACAAATCATGGCCTGGGCGGTTCTGGAAAGATCTTGCTGGACTGGTCTGATGTGTCTGTTTCATGGCCGCGTCGGTGTCAACCTGTGGATTACGTCGGTAGGATTGGGCGGTCTGTCATGGGAGTGAAATCGGTGCATACATAGTACGAGTATGAGTATAGAAAGTGAATTTTTCAGGCATCGAGAGCCAGTCTCCGAGGCCTTGCATGGATCCAGAATCTCGGCTGAGTGATGATTGATAATTCGTATATCGGGGATGACGAGGAGGGAGGGAGAGAGAGGAGGGTCGAACTGAGGTCGGGTGTCGATTGGACATGGTTGACCGGCAGACGGTTTCAGACTTGCAAGCGCCGCGGGACGCGCCTGAGGGCGGCAACGTTTCACCACCCTTCTGCGCGAGAGAAACCGGGTCGGCATTCCCTGGCGGGGGTTTGCTTCTGCTAGGGGAAGTCAGACGAGGACGGAGAATGCCGCGCATGTGATTCTGTACAGATTACATGGTGCCGGTAATAGTGATGATGACGGCACATTAGTATCTGCATCGTCCCGTGCCCGTAGTTCTGTAGATGATCTCTCTGTCGTGGAAGAGAAGCCGCGTGGTGGTGTTCCCACGATCTTCTGGACCTGACGGTGACGGACGGGTATCGATTGACGGCTCTGCAACACGGATAGAGACGGCGCATACTCAGTGTCTAGAGGGATTCCTTCTTCTTCTCCTTCTTCATCTTCTATCCCCCCCCCGCCTCTGCAAACGTCTTTCCCTACCCATCAGATGGATAGCAGAGCAGTAGTGACGGGACTGACCGGTGATGTCGGGGTGAAGGTTGTGATATTTGCCACGACGCGAATGATTGATCTCTGACAGAGCGCAGTGTTCTGCGTGATGACCCAGACAGCAGATCCCACGGTATTTACAGGCACCGTCAAGCAGTGTTTGCCCTGTAATGCGTGATTATAGAGCGGATAGTGAATAGCCTACAGCGCCAGGGTCACCGTCCCACGGCTCAGCGTCTCCCCCATTGGCTGGCCTTGCCCATCATCCCACACAGCCTCACTCACCACCATGGCCATTCTGCCCTTTTCCGAGGTCATCCGCCAATCTCCATCGTCGTAATCAAGTGGCACTTGATAAAAAAACTATATTATCTTCTCTCTCCTCTCTCCTCTCCCTTCTCCCTCACTTTTCCTTTTCTCCTTCCTTTTCGTCCCCTCTCGTTCGAAATCAGATCGACATCGTCGACACCTCCACCCCATCCACACACAGTCCTCACTCTCTCCATCTCTACCGATCTCCGGCGATAAACTCGTACCCGTACCGATTAATAAACATAATGGCTCGTGGCAACCAGCGCGAAAAGTCCCGCGAGGCTAACCTCAAGAAACAGGCGGCTGCTGTACGGACAACCTACCCCAATATACCTGCCTAGCAACAGAAAGAAAAAGAAGAAGAGGCGAAGGTCCGCTGACGTGTACTATCCGAATGAAATAGAAAAAGGGAAACACCCTGAGCGGTTCCGAGATGCAGCGTGCCAAGGAGACTGCTGCCGATATCATGCGCAAGAAGCAGGCTGCCGGTGAGCCTCCTCCTCCTCCTCCTCCTCCTCCATCCTTCTCAGCCTCTGTCCCTTTCTTCTCCCGATATCAGATTGCTCCGAAATGCTAACCTCTCTCTTTGCTCTGATCAACAGCCGAGGCTAAAAAGGCCGCCGAAGGAAAGAAATGATGATGCCAGTACGAACCGCGCGCTCTACGATCAGGACGAGACGAGTTTTCCTCTTCTTCTTCTTTGGGTAGAGCAAGGGCACAAGATTAGACGAGCGGGGATGGGATCATTTATCTAGCATGACATGGGCGAACGAGGAGCAGAATACCTTTTTTTGGCTGATTTTTATTTTTTTTCATCATTCCTCTTATTAGACCTGTCTGAATACACTAATCAACATATCATCGTTTTCTCCTTGACAATACTGCAGTCTAGTATCGCCATTTCGCAGAGTCAAGGACGGCCAGATCGCAGGCCAATTGAAAATAGCAGATTGACAAGTGAATCACAGTAGAAGGCGAATCTTGAAGAGAGCAAGTCACAAGAGAGAGAGGGGGGGGGGGGGGAAGCAAGCAAGTCAGGAGAACCAATATTTTGTCGTAACCTGCACGACACCAGCCATATGTATTCATAAAAGCAGTATAAAAAAAGAACATTATATAGTGACCCTCATCCCCTAAGAAACGCTGGATAGCTACCGGTCTAGGTAGCACCTTGATCCCGCTCTTTTTTTAAAAAGATTCCCTATAAGAAAGAAGAAAAGCAAACATCTTGATGCGTGGCTTACACACACAAGAACACAACCCATGGGGGAGAGAAAAAAAAACCCCTCCAAAAAAAAATGCACCATTAAGCTCTCTCTCTCTCTCTCCATCTCCAGCTCGTTCACCGGCACGCGCGCGCAAGTCTTCAAGACTCCAGGAGAACATCGTCTCCCTTAAACCCTGGCGTCACCCATGGGAAGAGAGCCGGCCATGCCGCCGATAGAGCCGAGACCCTGAACAGAGCTGGCGGGGAAGCCGCCGGCGCTGCAGCTGACCACACAGTGGCAGCTCCCGTCCGAGCCGATGAGGCCCTGTCCGGGAGTGGCGCCGGTGCCGCCGCCGACGAGGGTGGTACCGTTGTTGGCAGGAGGGGGGGCCGGGGTGGGGGTGGGGGTGGACTGGGCAGCGTCGCCCTCCTGCTGGATGGCGAGCTCCTTGAACTTGGCCTGAGACTTCTCGGCGGTAGGGTTGATGGAGAAGACCATGCCCTTTCCGCAGTGACCCATCTGCTTGCAGTAGAACCCTGATGAATGCTATCAGTATGACGTGTACGGATACCCATCGAGCTCGGAGAATGTCGAGCCCGTACGAGGGGAGAGGGGGAGAGAGAGAGGAGAAGAACATACAGAGAGGCTCGGTGGTGGTGACCTGCATAGCAACCTGGGGAGGAGGAGAGACGGCATTGTCGGCGTTGGGCTGGAAGCCGGTGTCCAAGCCGCCGTCCAGGGGATCGCAGGGGGTGGCGAAGCTGGACTGGGTGACGGTGTGGTTCTGCTGCATGAACTGGAAGATGACCATGTCGCCGACGGGGACGTCGTTGAGCTGGTCGGGGATGTAGACGAGGTCGTCACCGCCGACGATGACGGTGTGGGTGGCGGCGGCGGCCGGGGGGGGAGGGGTGCCGGCGGCGGGGGGGGCGGTGACGGTCTGGGTCACGGTGACCTGCTCGTTGATCTGGGTGGTCTCGGCGCCGCCTCCGGGGTTGGCCCAGATGATGATGATGTTGGCCACCTCGGACACGCCGCCGATGATGTTGTTGTTGCCGATGACGTTGGTGTCGCCTCCGGAGCTGCCCAGCTTGCTGAGGCCGCTGAAGCTGCTGTCCTCGACGACGTTGCCGTCGCCCACGACGTTGACGTCGTCGCTGCTGTGACCGCTCAGGTGGTGATCGCGGATGGCGTGGACGGTACGACGTCCAGAGTCGCGACGGAACTGGTTGACGCGGGCGCCGGAGGCGAGCATGGGAGCGGCCACGAGGCCGAGGGTGAGGGCAGTGAATGACTTCATCTTGTCCTAGTTCCTGTTCTCGTCGTAGTTGTTTTTTTTTTTGTAAGAGGGTAGAGAGAAGGGAAGACGTCCGCGTTAGGAAAGGATTGCGAGGGATGTTTTGAAGAAGAATAAAAAAAGAAGGGTGAAATCGACCAAGCGACTATTCAAGCATAAAAGATGAGGGTATAATATAATGTTGCTTTAGCGAGTGCCTGCTCGTCAAGAATCGAATGAAAGACAAAGAAACAACCCAAAAAGAGAGGGAAAGGGAACACTTCACAAGCTGGAGGACGGACGGAATGAGTTGGAAGATGAGAGGAGAGGAGGAGAAGGGAAAACAATGATATCGGTAGTTCCCCAAGGTTTATATCCAACTTTTCACCCCCCCTCTTCGCCCCCCCCCCCCCCCCCCCCC